AACCTTTAGGGGTGCTATAAATCCACAGGGTAGAAATTTTACAGATCCATACAGTTAGATGGGTAGACACACAAATAACAAGAAAAAGCAAGGAAACAAATCACCCCAAATAAACAAAGATACCTGAATAACACCACTGTGGAAGAAATGTCAAAGAAGTTTAAAATGTACATAGTTAAACTGATCTGCAAAGTATAGGATGATGTAAGAGAACAAATACAGGTAGCAAAAGATACCTTCAATAAAGAGATTCTGAAGAAAAATCAAGCAGAAGTCCTTGAAATTAAGGAAACAGTAAACCAAATTAAAAATTCAATAGAAAGCATCACCAACAGACTAAACCACTTGGAAGACAGAACCTCAGGCAATGAGGACAAAATAGAGTGAACCACAGAGAGAGGATGTTAAGAAACCATTAATAGAATTTCCAAGAACTATGGAATAATATGAAAAGACCAAATTTAAGATTTATTGGGATGAATGAAGGTGCAGAGATACTAACCAAAGGCATACACAATCTTTTCAATGAAATAATACCAGAAAATTCTCAAAATCTAAAGAAAGAAATGGGAAATCAAATACAAATGGCTTTCAGGACCCCCCCAAAATGTGCATAATTACAACAGACCCACATCAAAACACATCATTATGAAAATACCTTGTATACAGAATAAGGATAGAATTTTTTTAAAAATAGTAGGCTACATACAGGGGGAATCTAATACGGATATCAGTTGGTTTCTTAACCCAGATCCTCAAAGCTAGGCGGTGCTAGAATAACATATCAAGCTCTGAAAGAAAATGGATTCCAACCACGAATCCTATGTCCAGCAAAATTAAGTTTCAAATTTGAAATTGAAATAAAATCCTTCCATGATAAAACAAAAACTAATAGAATTCTTAACCAGAAAGCCTGCATTTCAAAATATTCCATACATATGAAATAAAAAATATATGAAAACCAACAAAGGGAAGAACTACATTAAAGGAACAGTCAATCAAAGGAGAAACTTAATTCAAATTAAAAACTAGGAATAAACCAAAATGACTGGGTGTACAAATCACATCTCAATAATAACCCTGAATTAACATGGTCTAAACTCATCAATCAAAAGACATAAACTGACAGATTGGATTTAAAAACAAAACAAAAACAACAATATGCTGTCTCTAAGAGACTCACTTCAATCTACAGATTGAAGGTGAAAGGATGGGAAAAAACATATCACATGGATTGCATAAACAAGCAAGGTTTTCTATGCTCATATCTGATAAAGTGGTCTTCAGGCCAGTGTAAATCAGAAGGGACAAATAAAGACAGTTCATATTGGTTAAGGGAATTATACATCAACAAGACATAACATTCATAATATTAATGCCCCAAACAATGGAGTATCTTCATTCATGAAACGAACTTCTCAACTTCAAGACTCAAATAGATCACAACATCTTAATACTGGGTGACTTTAACACACCTCTCTCACTATTGAAGACACTTTCCAAACAAAAACTAAATAAAGAAACTATAGAAATAAATAATACAATCTATAATTTAGATTTAACATATATATTATAATATATATGTAATATTTCATCCATCAATGAGTGAATACATTTTCTTCTCAGCAGTACATGGATCCTTCTTTAATATAGGTCATGTTATGTAAGCTATCATACATGTTGGCATAAATTGTAATATTACCTTAATATATTTTTAGCATCTGTAGGGTTACTTTGATAACTTCTGTTCCATTATTTTTGTGTTCTTGCTTTTTTCTTGATTTGACTTGTTTGATTTATATTAACTTTTAGCTGTATCATTTCTTCTCTATTTCATATAATTCTTCTCCTACACTTATTTTTTTCTTCCTACTACTTAATTTGAAAACAATTTGATTGTTATTCTAGTTTCTTTCTGATACAGGTACTTTAAGTTATAAATGTTAACGTGAGTACTGTTTCATCTGAGAGATCCTAATACTTTCAGCTTTTATTATCACTTAGTTCAAAGTACTTTTTATTTACTTTCCTTGTGCTTTCTTCCTTGACCTCAGAGATTAAGTGTGCCATTTAATTTTGAAACGGTTGACATGGGGTGGGATTCTATGTATCTTAAGGTGATTGATTTCTAATGTAATAAATCATGCAGGAAACACAGTCTGCATGATTTCAAATTTAAGCAAAGAAATGCTTTTTGTATTCATTGTATTAGTTATATACATGTTACTCATCAAATTGCATACTTCAAATATGTACACTTTATTGTACTTCAGTTTTACTTAATAAAGAATATGGAAAAAATATGCAATAATGTTAGTTTATAACACCAAAGACTTCTAAAACAAAAACAGTTGTTCATGATGCATATGACATTTTAAAAAGCCATCCAGCAGAATGTTTCTTCATCCCTAGAAGACTCACCTCGTTGGTCCTTGAACTGCTTCTGATATTTCTTCTCACATTAGAAAACACAAAATCAGTGCACATTAACATTTTAACCAAAACATTATTGTAGGTAGAGGTTGGAACCTATTTATTGTTTTGTGAAACATCTTGCATAGGCTATTGTGCTGTGTAGTAACCCTGAATACATCATTTTTTTTTAACTATATGAATGATATACTCTGTGTGTGTGTTTTTAATACTGGGGATTGAACCCAGGGATGCTTTACTACTGAGCCACATCTCCAGTCCTTTTTATTTTTTACTTGAAATAAGGTCTCTCTCACTAAGTTTTTTAGACCTTGATAAGTTGCTGAAGTTGGCCTCAAACTTGTGATCCTCCTGCCTCAGCCTTCTGAGTTGCTGGAATTACAAATGTATGTCACCATACTTGGCAATAATTTTTATTCGTATGTGAATAAGTATAAGAAAGTGATTGCTATTTGGTAGTATATAAACTCAGAGACACCAATGATGATGATGCCAAATATCTTCAGACTGTCCACATGGAGACTGAGATAGTGACACCTTTGTTTTCTGATGTCTGTGTGTACAAGTATTGTTTAATATTCAAAATGATTAAAAATATGGAAATTACCAATTGTATGTAGGAAGCATATATAAAAATGAACTTTTGGTTTAGACTTGGGTCTCATCCATATGATATCTGTCTATGCATGTGTAAATATTCCAAAATCAGAAAAATCTGAAACCTAAAACACTTCTCATTCCAAGCATTTCAGAAAAGGAATATTCAGTGTGTATATAACTTATCTAGGGGCACCTAGACATCTTGTTTATGGAAAAGTATTACTTTATTCATTAAACATTCTTTTAGAGTCCACTTAATCCAACTTAACTCTCAAGCAGTAGAGTCTAGCTGGCATAGATCTGGACATGGATAGGATTGCGGATATATGACACAACTGAAAACTAACAATGTCATCTAAATTACATGGAAATCAAGGTACATGCACAGTTCTTTGAGAACTTGGCAGAAGAAAGTCATGTTTTGATTACCTTAGTATCAGCTCTAGAGCTAAGTTTCTGAACTCTATTTCACACTCACCATCTCATATTCTTTGTTTGAGCAGGAAAATTATCCAAGTGAGTTTTCTTATTTTTGAGTAGCATTTAAAGTAACCATAGTACACTTCTGCTTTTGCTAGGAAAAATAATTTGTGGATTAGAATTTTTTTTTTTTTTTTTTTTAATAGCTTGGAAGAAGAAGCCAATTTCAATCATTTTTGAATCACCTGAGCTACTTCAGAAAAGTCTACAATAAGAGGTGCTACAAGTGAAGCTATGTTAACTATTC